CATACTGGGCAGAAACCCTATAAATGCCTGGAGTGTGGACAGAGCTTTGCTCAGAGTTCAGGTCTGCATTCACATAAAAGGACTCACACTGGGGAGAAACCCTATACGTGCCTGGAGTGTGGACAAAGCTTCGCTCATAATTCAGGTCTGCATTCACATAAAAGGACTCACACTGGGGAGAAACCATATTCCTGCCTGGAGTGTGGACAGCGTTTCGCTTATAGTACAAATCTACGTTCACATCAAAAGACTCACACTGGAGAGAAACCCTATAAATGCCTGGAGTGTGGACAGAGCTTTGCTCATAGTTCTGATCTACGTTCACATGAAAGGACACACACTGGGGAGAAACCCTATAAATGCCTGGAATGTGGACAGACTTTCACTCATAATTCAAGTCTACATAAACATCAAAGGATTCACACAGGGGAGAAACCCTATAATTGCCAGGAATGTGGAAAGAGCTTCACTCGTAGTTCAGGTCTACGTTCACATGAAAAGACACACACTGGGGAGAAACCCTATAATTGCCAGGAATGTGGACAGAGCTTCACTTGTAATTCAGGTCTACGTAAACATCAAAGGATTCACACTGGGGAGAAACCCTATAATTGCCAGGAATGTGGACAGAGGTTCACTTATAATTCAAGTCTACGTAAACATCAAAGGATTCACACTGGGGAGAAACCTTATAAATGCCTGGAATGTGGTCAGAGCTTCACTCAAAGTTCAACTCTACGTACACATCAAAAGATTCACACTGGGGAGAAACCCTATACATGCCTGGAATGTGGACAGAGGTTCACTCATAATTCAAGTCTACGTAAACATCAAAGGATTCACATTGGGGAGAAACCTTATAAATGCCTGGAATGTGGTCAGAGCTTCACTCAGAGTGGAGTTCTGCAGACACACCAAAGGATTCACACTGGGGAGAAACCCTATAAATGCCAGGAATGTGGACAAAGCTTTGCTCATAATTCAAGTCTACAGTCACATGAAAGGACACACACTGGGCAGAAACCTTATAAATGCCTGGAATGTGGACGGAGCTTCACTCATAGGTCAGGTCTTCGTTCACATCAAACGGCTCACACTGGAGAAAAACCCTATACATGCATGGAGTGTGGAAAGACCTTTGCTTATAGTTCAGATCTACGTTCCCATCTAAGGACTCACATGGGGGAGAAGCCCTATACATGCCTGGAATGTGGACAGAGCTTCACTCAGAGTTCTCATCTAAATAAACATGAAAGGACACACACTGGGGAGAAACCCTATACATGCCTTGAGTGTGGACAGAGCTTCACTCAGAGTTCTCATCTAAATAAACATCAAAGGATTCACACTGGGGAGAAACCCTATACATGCCTTGAGTGTGGACAGAGCTTCACTCAGAGTTCACATCTACGTACACATCAAAGGATTC